GACAGCAAATGCTTAAAGGGACATGCACCTAATTAGTCGCTGCTCTCCAGCTGTGCGGGCTCGTTGTCCCACTGAAGCTTCAGTGGCATGCTGGGGCTTGTAGTCCCGTCACTGCTGCAGCGGCCGTTTGCCCCCTGCCGCGTGACCTCTTGTAGGCGGTTCACACCCGGCGACGCATTCAGTTTAGGTGGAAGATTTGGGGCCCTTTTATGCTTTTATAGTTCTACAGGAACAGTTTTAAGGCTCTTTTGCTCAGAGATGACACAGTTGCAGTCTAATCACGAGGGGGAGGGGAGACTGAGGAAATGCCTCCTCCTGCCTGCAGCAGACTGATCAATCACTGGGGGAGGGGAGACTGAGGAAATGCCTCCTCCTGCCTGCAGCAGACTGATCGCTCCATTGGGAATGATGGGGGAAGGGTTTGGGAATGACTTGGGACATTGTGGATGAAGTCGCAGTATGAAGATTACATGATGGGGATCGGCTCTGCTGGCACACGCGTGTTTCTGGCGTGTAAACTTTTGTCCTTTTCCTTTATTACACAACAAGAGACACAAAGTACAAAGTTATGTTTGCGTTGTTGGTGACCTGAAACGGCGCCTGAGGGAACCAACACCGCCCCCTGCTGGCGGATCAGCGTCGCAGCACCCAATGCCGAGCGGAAAATAACTTTTAGATGTTTCCGAAAACAAAAACCTTTTTTTTTTCCCTTCCGTCATAACAATGTAACGGATCTAATGTCCTGTATACAGAGCCCAACCACCCGTATCCACCGAGGCCAGATAGAGGACTGGAGGGGAGGACGGAGGTCAGATAGGAGACTGAAGGGAAGGACGGAGGTCAGATAGAAGACTGAAGGGGAGGACGGAGGTCAGATATAAGACTGAAGGGAAGGACGGAGGTCAGATATAAGACTGGAGGGAAGGACGGAGGTCAGATAGAAGACTGAAGGGAAGGACGGAGGTCAGATAGAAGACTGAAGGGAAGGACGGAGGTCAGATAGAAGACTGAAGGGAAGGACGGAGGTCAGATAGAAGACTGAAGGGAAGGACGGAGGTCAGATATAAGACTGAAGGGAAGGACGGAGGTCAGATATAAGACTGAAGGGAAGGACGGAGGTCAGATATAAGACTGGAGGGAAGGACGGAGGTCAGATAGGAGACTGGAGGGAAGGACGGAGGTCAGATAGGAGACTGAAGGGAAGGACGGAGGTCAGATAGGAGACTGAAGGGGAGGCCGGAGGTCGGATAGAAGACTGAAGGGGAGGCCGGAGGTCAGATGTAAGACTGAAGGGGAGGCCGGAGGTCAGATGTAAGACTGAAGGAGAGGACGGAGGTCAGATGTAAGACTGAAGGGGAGGCCGGAGGTCGGATGTAAGACTGAAGGGGAGGCCGGAGGTCAGATAGAAGACTGAAGGGGAGGTTAGATAGAAGACTGAAGGGGAAGCCGGAGGTCAGATGTAAGACTGAAGGAGAGGACGGAGGTCAGATAGAAGACTGAAGGGGAGGCCGGAGGTCGGATAGAAAACTGAAGGGGAGGCCGGAGGTCAGATAGAAGACTGAAGGGGAGGTTGGATAGAAGACTGAAGGGAAGTCTCAGCTATAAATACTGCGATTTTAGTAGCAGGGAAGCGGATTTTCAGCCTCCTGTCTAGACGGCGCGCGGCGGAGTTGTTCCCAGGAAATGGATTTGATTTGTTGTGTAATTTGGTGCTGATAGTGACAAGGGAGAGCGCGCGGCGGGTCGTTAGGGGCGACAGTCGCGCGTCCTCCCTGCCTGTTGGATCCTCTCGCACACTTTGCTGTGCCTGTCACATGACCCGGCCGCTCCGTCGGCGTTCTGCACCTCGGGGACGATAGACACGGCCCGGCAGATGTTCTTTTCATTAGGATTTTTTTTTTTTTGGCCCTCGCCAGCTGGTCCTGGCTGTTTTCTGTCGCC